TGAAGGGTGGGATTTAAGACATGTGACCAAGGTCGACGAAGAAGGTAGGGAGAAAGTGGAAGAGGGAAACCAAGGCTGAGCTTGCCAATAAGGAGCAATCAGGATGACTCAACAAGGAATGGAGTGGAGGGGAGAAATCACCCAATGAAGTAATCAGATGGGTACACATAAAGAAACTTGTGTGACCAATCCTGGCAGAAGGCATTGAATGCCAGAGCCTGGTGATTAGGTACAGGCAATCAAAAGAGAGGTATCTTGTTGTTGAGGCCTGTAGTAAAGGCATCCACATGGGGAGAACCCCACCAATGGCAAAGATCCCTGAAAGATCTGTGAAATATATCTGGTCGAGGCATGAATGACAGATTGAAAACACTCAGCACATGATAAACAATAAGATCCAACATCTGAAAACAGAGATCTGTGGACCAGGTGCCCCTTGGTTGATATGTGCCACCACCATAAAATTGTCTGAATGAACCATCACCAGACAATGTTGGGCAAGAAGAAGGAAGGGAAGCAATGCCCGACATGCAGGTAGATAATTTTGAGAACATTGATATGCAAAGTGCTTTCATCCGCAGACCAATGACCTGAAGCCTCCCGGTGATTGACCCATGCCCTGAAGGGATGCATTCGTGAAAAGATGTAGATCCGGATGCAGGGGAGGAAGCAGCAAGCTTGCCAACGTATGGGCATTGTACAACCACTTAAGCAGATCATCTCGTAGGGAAAAAAGAAGGGTAATGGGGGTGGAAAGAGATCCCGAGCAAGGTTCCATCAATTGTGAATCACACACTGAAGGGATCTGATATGGGCATGACCGAGGGGGACCAGTGATGTCACTGATGACCACATCCCCAAAAGCAATAGAATCTTGCAAGCAGTAAGTGACTGAGCCCCATTAAATGAAGTTGTACAGGAGAAGGCTGGACCTGACTGATATGAGTGTTGAAAAAGACCCCCAAATAGACAAGACATTGAGTGGGTGTGAGGAAGGACTTCTCCAGTTTGATCAACTAGCCCATCCGAGCTGCCACAGAAAGTGGCTGATTCACATTCAATATGAGCCAGAAGAAGCCAGTCATCCATGTAATAATGAAAGCACAGCTCCAGAGCATGGAGATTCTGAGCAAAAGCTTGGACTACTTGTCAAAATATGTAAGGTGCCAAGGGGAAGGCCCGAAATTGATAAATCACCCTGAGATGGATAAACCAAAGATAAAGACAAGACAGAGGTGATATCAGTATATGTAGCTAAGCATTGGAGACATCCATTTTGGTCATCTACAAACCCAGAGAAAACACCCATCTCAAGATGAGAAAAGACTCCATGGTGAACCAAGGTAGTGACACAAAGCAGTTGAGATAAGATAAATCGTTTACTGGCCACCAATCCCCAGTTTTTTTGGGGGACAATGAAAAGGCAGGAATAAAACCCCCAGTAAGGATGGGGAACAGGTTCAATGGCCAGCTGCAAGAGCAATTCTCAAAGTGCTTCTGACAGATGCTGGCTGGTCATGGGATCTCAAGGAAAGACAGGAGGTGGGGAAAGAAACTGGACAATGAATCCTTCTGACAGGACCTGAAGCACCCATTGATTGCCAATGAAGGAACACCAATGATAAAGAAACTTGAGCAGCCAAGCCCCTACTGGACCAGAACCCACTGGGTAGTTACCGGTACAGGTGGGGATGGGGGGGTGCATCATTGAGGAAAATGATGAGAAGAAGTACCCTGAGTAGAAGGGACAGGCAAGGGCTGAGAAGGGGAAGGACAGGAAATGGTAGTTGGAGGCATACAAGTCTCTGACTGAGACAAACGGGCTACAATATTTGTAAGGGTGGATTGTTGTTCGACCAATGTCACCCGAAGCTCAAGAGGGTCTATAACAAAAACGTAACGTCTCAGAAATGGGGCCATATGTAAATCCCTAAGAAATGTTGAGGGTAAATGGACCCAAGCCAATATGGCATCACAACCTATAATGTTCCAACAACAAAGAAGGACAACATGTGGGCTAAAGTGGAGTAAAGAAGGGCAAGGTAATTCCAGAAAAATCCTGAGGATTTCTGTAGAGAGCCTCCGATAGAAGATGTATGGAAGAAAGATATCATAACAGATTTGTAAGGGTAAGACACAATCGAAAATATTGGACATGGGTAAGACTGACAGATAATTCAGAATCCACCCCTCAAATAGGCAATAAGGAACCTAACAACTGCTGGTCTAAAAATGGATAGTCAGCATGATGGTAGGAAAGTGCAAACTAATTTATAGTCCACGGAGGGCACAGCATGCTAATCCCCTCGTTTAATTGTGAGGCAAAGTGACCAGCATGAACCCAAATATCAGGTGAGGGAGAAAAAACAAAAAGGGTTGGGATGATTGTTCATGCAGTAAGGAAGGACAAGGTGCATAAGAAATAGAGGAAAGCAATAAAATGTCACAAACCTGAGACACAAAATCCATAAGGACTGCATTAGGCCTGGTAGACTCATCGAGTTGGGATAGGGAAGGAATGGAAAAATCTGAAGGTGGAAAAAGATGATCGAACTCCTCGTCACCCTACCTAGGATCAGCCTGGGCGATGTTTGGGGACAAAGGTTGTCCCATGTAATAGTCGGTCTTCCGGGATATAAATCCACCACCGGGTCACCCATGCCTCCGGCCTGAGGAAAAATGCTGGTTGCTGGTGTAACTCCCAAAGTGGTATTGTTAACTTCAGAATTTACTGCACAGAAAGGTTCACCAAATGGGAGTGCATAAAATAATACTAATAAATACTAATAGAAGTAACAGGCTGAATGAAAGCAAATTAATTTAAAAAACAACCACTTCATGAGAAAACAAAGTCGAATGTGAATCATTAAACAGACAAGAGTACATCTGAACACAAGCGCTGCCAAACAAGAAGTGATAGTTCAGTAGAGGAGTGTAGAGGGAGTTGCATGCATCACGTGAGCATGTTATGCTCCTATTGGTGAGGAGGTGATGCATGAGAGATATGTTGGGATCTTACAATTCCAATAGGGTGGAACGGAAGGCTTATGGCATACATAAAGAAAAAGTTTGCATATAGAGGGCAGCACTGTACGAGAACAGGCAATCTTCGAGGTAAGTACTGTATCAGAATTATACTTTCGAAATTCAAATTATGATAACTCACATGCATTATCTTGCATTTATCATAATTAAAACCCATCTACCATTTATTCGTCCAACTCACTAAATAACGTAAATCCTTTTGAAAAGCAGCAGCAATATCCTCACAGACAGCAACATCCATGACCTTAATATCATCACCAAATTTAAGTAATTTATTGACCATTCCTTCATCTATGTCATTAATGTAAATAAAAAAAAGGCAAAAGTCCTAAGACTGAGCCCTGAGGTACCCCACTTGTGAAATCAATCTAGTTTGACTGAACTCCATTTGTAACAACACTCTGCTTTCTTTCATTCAGCAATTCAATGTTCTTTCTAAGGTAAGGATCCTAAGACTGAACACAATATTCCAAATTTGGCCTAACCAGTGACCTATACAATGAAATTATAACCTCTTTAGACTTGTATTCAACATATATCATTATTATTTACCTTTGTTAGTATAAAAGAATTACAATTACCAAGTGAAGTAGGATATGCAATAAGTTCTTGAAGCCAAGAAAAGTAGATGGAAAAATAAAAAAGGGAATATAGCAGAATATAAAGACCATATAAACATCTGCTTCATTTCTCATACATTGAAAATAACATTAAGAGTACTGTAAGGAAGAATTGAATCAAAGGCAAAAGATGAGTTCGCTTCAGGAACAGATGTGGAAGATGCAACTGGAGTGATCAGAATAATGATTGAATGATACCTGTAATACAATCAAGATGAAAATTGTACTTGATAGGGTATGTTGGTCCAAACTATTGAAACTGCTGAAAATGATTGAAGAGACAAACAACTAGTGTCATCTCTGTTCATGGGACAAACAGCTGTGATTAGACTAGCCAATGGTGACTCAAAGGAAGGAATAGCAGAAAGAGAAGTCAGACAGGGTTGTTCGTTATCACTACTGCTTTTTAATATATACTCTGAAGCAATTTTGCAGGTAGCCTGGGAAGATTTTGAAACAGATGTAAAGACTGAAGGAAAGAAAATCAAGGCAATCAGGTTTACTAATGATATGGCTTTGGTTACAAAGAAGAGGTATTTGAATGAAACAGCTAGGTAGTTAGGGATGAAGATCAATGTAAAAAAAACAACAAAGATGGTGAAAGTAGAAGAAGGATCACATATGTAAAAAAACAACTGAATGAGGTGCAACAGTTTTATTATTTGACTTTGAGAAGTATTATAACAGATCACGGAAAATGCTTCAAAGAAATAATTTCAAGAACTGCAATATGAAAAGAAATATTTAGAAAAGAGTTCCTTTTAACAAAAAAAGATTGAATAGCATGCCAAAGAATAAAACCTTTGTCTAAAGTGCGATATTTTGAATTTGAAGAAGTTTTACTGATGTAAAAACTTGTATTTACTATTACTGTATTATTATTAATAATAATTATCAATATACAAATAGCAACAACATACATAAAATATCTTACAACTTTGAAGCATCTCTGTCAGAGTTTCGAGGGCCATTTTATCAGATGCATTAAACCCAGCTTCCATACAGAGAGAACTAACAGCAGCAAAAAGTAATTTTCTTCGGGCATTTCCGCTTTGTACCGAATTTGACTGTTCATTAATTCCTGCCATAATGTTTTCGTGCATTAGAAAACCGAACAAGTAAATACTATTTCACAAATGCTATCACTTAGATAGAAAGAAGTTATTATTTTCCAATAGCCGTATTGTTTTATAACATAAGTTACATATAGCTTCTCAAATTCAAATTGTGATGACTTAAAACTGTTATTGTTAAGTTAAAGAGGCTGCCATGACAGGTACACAGAGCCACCTATTGTAGTTACAAGTGCTGCCACCTATTATAGACAGGTTTCTTGAATTGTTTATATAGTCGTTGCCGACGTTGTTTCGTTCACTTGCACAAACACCATTTTAATTTTAACAAATAAGTGTTAATCAACGCTGTTTCAAAGAAATTTGTTTAACTGTTGATATGGGGAAAATAAAATGTAAGACAAAAATAAAAAACATGTTTAATAATTTGAATTATTTAGTGCTACAATGTAATAGTTCTCCTTTACTTTAGTAACAAGTTAATTAACATTGCTTTGCCATATTTCTTTCTACTTTGTAGGCGGACCTATAGTCGAAGCTAAAGGAGATGAAATGACAAGGTGAGAAAATTTAAATTCTTAAAATTTTACTTTCAGTGTAAAGAAGTAACGACTTATTAGCATTGGAAGTTCGTGGAGTTTTATGTCTAGAGATGATGATACTAATAAAATAATTTGATAAAGCATAAACTGATAATAAAGGTAGTAAATTTGGTTGGCCTTGATTTTTTTTTCTCACATGATTAAGGAAAACGTTTGGGTTTTTTCCATGGTCAGGTTTTAAATCATGAGCTAAAAAGCATGAGAAAGACAAGTTAAAAAAGCCATTTAGACTTTGAACTATTGATAATTCGAAAAATTGAGAATTATATTTATAATATATTTCTGACTAGTGTTGTTTAAGTTCAAATGTTTAGCCAAAATTATCAAGAAATTAGTTTTTTGTCATAAAAATGACAAAGTTTAGTTTATATTATTAGTGTTGGATATTAAACTGCTTTATATGAGTATTTTAATTTTAATAAACGTCATTTCATTATGAGTATGACTCAAGTATGAGTGTATGATGTAATGATTGTAAATCTTTTTGCTGCAGTTCTGTTCTTATAAGTCAACATCTTTATTTCAAACAAATAACACTTTTCTTATATCACAAAGATTTTTTTTTCATAATCTTTTTATTCCTCAACAGGCTTTGTCCTCTAAAACTTTTGGAAGTGTATTTAACTACACCTACTGGTAGTTATTTTGAAAGTAGTACTATTAGCATTTTACAGAAAAGATATTCTGTTAAATAACAGCTTTTGGTACTATGGAAATTGTAAGTTTTTTTTTTAAGAGTTCCTTAACAGGGCTTTATTTGTAATTATTATGGATTATTTTTAACATTTCCACCTTTAATTTAAAGGTATTATTATAGTTTTCTTTGTGTTTCTGGTTTTTGTGTATGTATTTGGTGTTACAGTTGTGTCCTAGTGTGCTAGGTTTGTGTATCAGGACAGTGTTTACATATGTTATAATTGTTGTGATTGATTGTTTCTTATTTTCACTTTTATTTTACTTTATGGGTATTGTTTAAGTACTAAATTTACCTGTGATTTTTTTCTCTTTTTCATTTCAATGTCTTTGTTGTTATGGTTGAATCTTTATATAGAACTCTTCCTATTTTATCTTGTCTGGAAGATTATTTTTTTAAAACAAAACAAAAAATAGAAATTTATAAAAGTATAGTACTGGAAGGTTTCTTGTTTTGCTTAGTTATGCAGTTCAAACACAGAATATTCCAGTAACATTTATCTATAAAGTTACATGTTTAAACGTTATATTTTTGTACAACATATTTGCAGAATAAACTGTATTATAATACCATGAAAATTCTTTCTTAAATAGAATAATATGGGAACTGATAAAAGAGAAGCTGTTGTTTCCATTCTTGGCAATAGAGATTCATTCTTTTGACCTTGGGATTGAAAATCGAGATGCTACTGATGATCAAGGTAGGCAAGAGTTTATAAAGCAACTAGTAATTAATCACTTATTAAAAACTCTTCATTTTACAGTAGAAGTGATTTTTAATCAAAGGTATTTGACACAAATTTAGTGTTTAATAACAACTAAATGTTAAACATTTTATTTTGTACAATTCTGGGTATTTTATGAGGGAAGACTGAAAGATGCATTGTACATAACTTTAAAACTGTATTATTATAATAATAATTTACTGTAATAAAGACCTAGGTTATAATCTGCTGTTCAGTATATACATATCCCATCAGAATTGTTTGTTTCTATGGAAGGTATTGGAATAGACCTGAAATATATTGATATTAATCCCCTGGTGGTAAGTAAAAAATTGAGAGATTAAAAGTAGATAAAGCATCAGGGTCTGACCTGTCAGGAGGACGAAGATCAGATATGCCAGGCTAGAGAGTTGGCAAGTGCATGAGGTTTGGAGAGTTACTTGTGTTACTTTAATTTTAAAGGGGATGATAAATGTTGCCCTAAAAATTATTGCTCAGTTAGTTTTACTTGTATAGTAGGAAAAATCCTGGAGTGTGATAAATAAAGCTTTATAAAATCTTTGTGAAATATTATGTAATAAAAGGAAAATCTTGCCTTACTAATCTCTCATCTTATTCAAGTAAGTGTTATCTGGATGAAGGAAAAGTGTGAATTTAATAGATTTTCAAAAAGATTAGCTAAGAAAACCAAATTAATATGGCTGGGGAAAGACTAGTTAATTGGATTGTAAGGTGGTTGGATGAGAGAAAGCAAAAGGTTATTACAAAGGGAGTCTAATCATATTGAATTCTTGTTACTAGTGAAATATCTCGTGTGTCAATACTTAGCCTTTACTCTTTCCTATTTACATTGATGGTTTTGATAGGGTCATAATTAGCAAAGTTTGCTGAAAACATTAAACTCTTGGGTATTTCTAACTGTATTGTTACGTCTCCGTTTGTTAATTAATTTTCTGTAACTTAGTTCCGACGAAACTTTAGTGACACAAGTCCTTTCTTAAGTAAAACTGGTTTATTCTTTCTGAATATAACTTTACCGATACACTCAACTTCAACAGTTGCGCTATAACAAACTATAATTCACGTATCATGAGCTAGACTTCAACAATACGTCTCTCTCTGACTGCAGTTCAATTACTCATTACTTACACACGCATTATTGTCCCATCACGTTGTCACCCTCTTATATATACCAGACTACCCTATATCTAGTAATCTCCTGACCATTCACAAAGGTACAAGATATTTCCAGAAAGCAGGGGGCGTGACACTAGTCACGTGACCTCACTGACGCAACAGTATTAACAATATTGAGGTATTATAGAATGACTTGGATCAATTGGTAAGTTTGACAAATATTTGGCAAATGAGTAATGAACGACTTTAATTAATTATGTTAAGTGCAAGGTAATGCATTTGGTTTATCATAATTTGGATTATATGTTTAATACAGATGGGAATAAACTCTACAGCATGTCTGAAGAAAAGAATCTTGGCATAGTGGTGGATAAGTCACTTAAGTCATCAAATTTTGGGGCATATTTATTGACATATTGATTACATGTCAAGGAGATAATTATCTCTATATAAAAATCACTAGTTAGGCCTTAATTGGAATACTTGTTTACATTTTTGGTTTCCTTATCTATGAAAGGAGATTGACTTATTGGAAAGGGTTCAGGTAAGTCCCGTTAGAATGATTCCATAGATGAAAGGGTTATCATATAGGGATACGTTAAGATCTCTAAATTTATTTTCTCTTGAGAAAAGAAGTGTAGGAGGTGAAATTGAAGTTTACAAGATTATTTGGGATATTAATAGGAGTAAGGCCATGATTTCTGTAGTTAGATTCAATAAAAATTAAACTGTTTGATTTTTAATTATAGTTACACTAAAAATATTTTGCAAGATTAACTTAGTGTGTGTGTTTGTGTATTTGGGCTTATCTAAACCTCTTTACTAAATCAAAAAATGTTCATTGGTTTATTGTTTCAGATGTGACTTACAAGCTGAGGTAAAAATATTCAATTTTTCAGTGAACTGCTTTTGGTGTTTTATATATATATATATATATATATTGTTGAATTTAT